GCGGTCTCCGTGTCGAAGCTTAAGCAGGGCAGCAGGGTGGTGGTGCCCCCGACGCCGCCGTTGGTGACGAAGCCGCCGGCGTCGACGTCGAGCGGCGTGAAGGCGGAGACGCCGGCGGCGGTAGGGTTGGCGGGGTGCGGGGGAGGAAGAGACCCGCTGTTGGTGACGTGCAACTGCAAGAAGTCCAAGTGCCTGAAGCTGTACTGCGAGTGCTTCCAGCGGCAGCAGTACTGCAAAGGGTGTAACTGCATGGAGTGCCTCAACACGGAGCGGACGGAGGACCTCCGGCAGCTGGCGATCCAGGGCACGATGGAGCGGAACCCGCAGGCGTTCGTGAGCAAGTTCGAGAGGCGCGCTGGCAAGCGCTCGCACAACGCGGGCTGTAACTGCAAGAAGTCTGCGTGCCTCAAGAAGTACTGCGAGTGCTTCCAGGCCGGGGTGGCGTGCGGCACCAACTGCAAGTGCGTCAACTGCAAAAACTACGAGGGCGCCGCGGGGGGCAGGAAGCGCCGGGCGGTTGAGTCACCGGCGGCGGTGGCGGCGGCGGCGGCGGCGTCTGCGACGCCTCGAACGCCGCCGCGCATGTCACCCAGGGTACGGGGTGCGGTGGTGGCGGCGGCGGCGGCGGACGCCGACAGCGACGACGGCGGCGGCTCCTCCTCATCGTCCTCATCGTCGTCGAAGGTGCCGTCCTCGAGCAGCCCGGACCACCACGTCCAGGTGGGCGGGGACGACGACGAAGACGACAAGGACTCGACGCCCGCCCCGCCTCTGGCGGAGGCCCTCAGGGGCGGCCCCCTGTTCTCGAGGGCTCTCGGCAACGGCGCCGGCGGTGGCGGCCTTTCCGGCACCCCTCCCGCGGACGCCGTGGCCGCCGCCGCAGCCGCGTTTGCGGCTCAGAACCATGCTCGAGTCGCTGCCGCGGCGGCGGCGGCGGCGGCGGCGGCGGCGGCGGCTTCGTCGTCGCCGTCGGCGTCCGCGGTGGCCGACTGCGCCGTGGCGCGGAGCCTGCTGGACATGGGCGGCACCCCGCTTCAGGTCCAGGACGAGGAGGGCGCGGAGGGCAAGTTCGAGCTCTCCCTGGCCGCCGGATCTCCAGCGTCCGCCAGGCTGCTGCAAGGGCAGCAGAAGAGGGGCTCGGCAAGGGGAGGCAAGGCGGGCGGCGGCGGCGGTGGCAGTGTGGACGATGCGGTCGGCATGGACGCTCTGCTGAGGCGGTGTCGGAAGGAGTCGAGCAAGAAGACCGCCGCTGCGGTCGCGGCGGCCACGACTGCCGCAGCAGCCGCCGCCGCCGCCGCCGCTTCCACAGCCGCCGCAGCGGCAGAGAACGGCAAGACAGGTAGCCCGGCCTCGGCCGCTGCCCCCCCCGCCGGCACCACCGGCGGCAAGGCTGGAGGAGCGGGGGGGCAAGCCTGCCTGACTCCCCCGTTGCCCCTGGCCACCGCAGCCTGGAACGCGAAAGAGAACGCGGGGGGAGCGGAGAGCGCCCCTGGGTCGGCGGTGGTGGCGATCTAGAGTTGGTTTCTCGAACGAAAAGCAACGTGCGCAGTTGTTTCCATCCGCGAAAAGGGAAAGGCGATGCGACGTGAGCAATGAGAGGGAGGGGGGGGGGGGGGGGGGGGGGGGGGGGGG